TCCTTCTATAGGAAACATGTGAAAAACTGCATGAAAAAGCGTCGAAATTTCAGTCCCTGATGAGTTTGCTGGGAGCAGTGCTCTTTTTCAAGTTCTTACAAAATGTATTGACCTTTTTTGAATATTTTTTTACAAGGAATCGAATGGTATATCCGGAAGTCGGTTACCAGCAACGGGAAAAAAGTTATATGACATTTTCGGGACTTTTGAACATTTTTGGGCCGATAAATCGCAATGTTGCTCCATCAAAGAGTTGTCTTACGAAGCTGACAGTAGTGTCAATCGAAAGAGAATAAAATTCCGCAACTTTTGAGACCCCAGCCGTTTTGATATCTCATTTAGTACCCGAGAAATCACCCAAAAACCTCTATTTTGGAGCTTCAGACCCAACTTTGGCCCCCCCACTAATATGTTCAAATTTTTTCCCGATCAAAACCAACTCGTTAACGGTCTTCTACTATCCCCAAGACTCCATTTCGCCAATAAAATTGGGGGGTCAGAATTTATGATCCACCCTACTCTGGAGCTCAAAACGCGTCCGCGGTTTCGACTGCCTGCACCGATCTTCTGGCCCACTGTGTGGCAGGGGCGCCGCGGCCGTGGCGTCGTGCACCGCCACTTTGCCGCCGTGTCCGCTGTTTGGCCGCCGAGCCAGCGAAGCCACGGAAAGGTCGGGCCGCCACTTTGCATCAACTATCCCTTGCATGCTGGTTCCGGACGGCGCCCCCGCCGCTCTCCGTCCTCCTCGCACTCACGGGCCGTCCCCAGGGTGTGAGAGAGACGGGCGCTGACGGCGGGGGCGTGGCGGCGGCCCCGGCCGTAACACACGTTGAATATTGCACCCGCCCGGTCGGCGCGCTCACCGGACGCGCACACGTCAGGCCTGCACCCTTCACTGCGCCGCCGACCGCCGCGAAGGGGCTATGGACGACGAGCGGCAGCGGGGCCGGGCGCGCGGCCGGAAAAGTGAACAAGCGATGATCGATGATTTATAATTTTTTGGACGAATAGTTTCTCTCCACAAATGTTTTGGCAAAGGGTCCCTTTCGAATGAGGTGGCGGGTCCCCCGGAAGCTGCACTCCATGTTCTTGCAGGCGAGGACGGCGCCCTGCGGAGTCTGCTGCAGGCCATGCCGTCCATGACGCGCTGGTGCAACATGGCCTTCCTGGACGAGCGGCTGTCGCCCGCCACGCTGGTCGTGGTCACGTCCCACACCATCATCACCCTGGCGCACCTGTCGCACCTGCTGCTGCACTCCAAGGTGCCACGCGTGCCGCGGGCGGCGCGGCGTCGTCGCACAGTGGGCCAGAAGACCGGTGGAGGCGGCCAAAATCCAGGACGGGGTTTGAGCCTGAGAGTCGCTAATGGGACTCTAACCGAACGTGTGCCCCCACCAATGGATTCCTTTTCGAACGAGGAATCCATTGGTGGGGTCACACGATCGGTTCGAGTCCTTTTTAGCGACTCTGGAGCTCAAAACGCGTCTTGATTTTTTTTGCTGCCTCCACCGGTCTTCTGGCCCACTGCACGTCGTCGCCGAGCTCAGGACGCCGCCGTCGTGGCTCACGGCGGTCTCGGTGCCGGCAGGGCGAGCGCGTGTACAACGACGCGGGCGCGTTCATCGCGGCGGAGACGACGTGCTCCTACCTGGTGGCCGCCGTGCTGAAGCGCCGCACGCTGCGCAGGCTGCACGCCGAGCTGGTCGAGTACTGCCGCGACGTGGAGGTGCCTGCGCGAGCCAAGCCACGCCGAGCGACGCCGGAAGGGCTGCCGACGCACAGAACCAAGCGGGGCTGGAGGAATAATATGCATGTTCAGGAAGGATTGGAAGTTGACGACCCACCTGTTTTCTATTTTTCTGCGGAGGGTGGGGGGATTTGATTCCTGTCGGGCACACCGCTTTTCTTATGTCAGCCCGCCGATCCGTTCCACAACGCCCGCGGAGTCGAGCGTCGGCAACCCGCTCGGCAGCTCGTCCGTAGCGCGGAGTGCTTAATGCGTGATTTGCTTTTTCGTTGTTTTTAGGGGTTCCCAAGAACCCCTATTGTCCGAGGTCCGTGGATTCCTTCCCCCCCCCCTCTTCGATTTTCAAATAAACAACGCTAAACTATTTCAACCATAAAAAAAACGAAAATTCCAAATTTTTTCGAAAATTCATCGTGGAAATTTTCCGTAAACGCGAAAAACATAAATTTGCAACAATCGAAAACGAGAACCGTTCATGATATGAAAAAATGGTTCAAATAAGAAATGTACCACTCCTCAAAACTAAACCTCCTGGCTCATCAAAGTAACAAGAAATCGCCTGTGTTCTGAACAAATACTTAAAACATGAAAAAACAATCTCCATGGCAACGGCATGGTCCCATCGTGCCACCCGTCAAAATTTAAAATACCCCATTAAAAGAAATCTAAACCCCGTGAAATTCGAAAATGCTAATGCTAACGCATTGCACGGTGTCTCAACGTTGGAACATCTTTAAAGTCTGTCACTAGTAAACAGTTCGTAGCAGAAACGACACATCAAATTAATTTTCGTGGGTTGGCACCAATATGCTTGCCGTCTGCGCCCTTTCGAAAATCGCGAGGCTGAAAGAACGAGCAGGCGCCCATTGAAACTGCCCCTCCATTGTTGCTGAAGTTGGATTGTTTGGCATGCTTTCAAAGGCTGCGGTTGTCTTGTCACCACAATTTCTACACATTTGTTTATATCTTACTTTTAAACCAGTTATGGAAACGGGAACACCGTGCAATGCGATTAGCATTGGAATTTTTGTTGTTTTTCGTGGTGCCCCAGGCGGACGCGACGCCGCTGGTGCGCGAGGTGCTGGCGCCGCTCCCCCGCAAGCTGCGGCGCGTCTGGTTCCTGCAGACGGCCCTGCCCCTGGGCTGCTGGGCCTTCTACACCGTCATCCCCTTCATCTTCGAGTTCGTCCACGGCATCCCCATCGGCTCCCTCCGGAGGTGCGACGTCCAGAAGACCGGCGCCGGCGGACAAAACTTTAGACGCGTTTTGAGCTCCAGAGTCGCTAAATGGGACTCGAACCGAACGTGTGACCCCACCAATGGATTCCTCGTTCGGAGAGCACTTCGCATCGAACGCCAAAATTATTTTGAACGGGCGATGCGACCCACGCAACCTCCACCATGTCAGGGCCTGCCGTATTTGAGTGAAATCCAATACGGAGGTGTACTATTGTACGACAAACCCTGGCTGAGTGTAGTTCAGATGGGAGTGAAGGGTAGAACAAAGAACACTAGATTTTAGGTTTCTGGGCCCAGCCACCAAGTACTTACTCTAACGATGCGATCGAGCCGAAGGCCGTGACACGTCTGACTTGCGTGTCGCTCGCCAGAGCCGTGGAGGCCCTGGCGAGCCAGCCGCTAAGGGCTGAGCTAGCATTTCCGCTAGCGACGCGAGTTCCTCCCTGAGCGCGGGGATTCAAACCTACTCGCTATACTGACAGGGGGGGGGGTCACACGTTCGGTTCGAGTCCCGTTTAGCGACTCTAGAGCTCAAAACGCGTCTTAAGTTTTGGCCGCCGATCATCTGGGCTTCTGTGCGACGCCTAGGCGGCAGTGAAGTCTAGGGCAGAGAGGGCCGCTTAAGCCCTTTGCGTGTGCAGGCTGTCCGCCATGGTGTACCCCGAGCCGTGCGACGTGAGCGGGGACCTCTGCTACTGCACCCTCTACGTGGCCGTGGCCTCCGAGTGGTTCCTGGCCTCGCTCGCCTTCAGCAGCGTCGAGTGCACCAACCTGGTGTACTTCACCGTGGCGACGCACCTCTTCCAGGCGCTGGGCGTGTCCTTCGGCGAGGTGCACGCCGACGACGCCCTGGTGCTGACGGGCGGCGGGCACGCGCCGCCGTCCGAGAGGTCCTCGATGGCGTCGCCGGGCGACCGAGAGCTGCGGCACTGCGTGCTGCGCCACCAGACGCTGCTGCGCTGGAGCAAGGAGATGACGATGGTCTTCGAGCTGCCCACGTTCCTGCGGCTCGGTGCCATGACCATCCTCATCGCGCTGGCCATCATCAAGCCCCTGCTCACGGTGAGGCCGACGCTCAGTGGGCCAGAAGACCGGTAGGGAGGTGGCCAAAATTCTAGACGTGTTCTGATCTCCAGAGTCGCTAAAAAGGACCCTAACTGAACGTGTGACCCCACTAACGGATTCCTCGTTGGGAGAGTAATCCATTGGTGGGGTCACACGTTCGGTTAGAGCCCCATTTAGCGACTCTGCAGCTCAAAACGCGCCAAGAATTTTGGCGGCCTCCACCGGTCTTTGTGCGACAGTCACTTTGGTCGTATTCTGGCGTAGCGCGCCGTCGACTCCTCGGTTCTGTTTCGCAGCAAAACTACGTCATGGATGAGCTGCCCTTCGTCGGTTTGTACGGAATGCAAACTATATTCATCATCTGCTGGTTCTCGGACCAGCTCAGCCGCTCGGTAAGCGAAGCAACGCGGATGATCTGAGTGACCTAACTGCCGGCCTGCTGGGCCTCCGGTGGCAGTTGTTTTTGTTGCTCGTGCCGCCAGTCCTCCGAGGTGCACGCGCAGGCCTACATGGGCCACTTCGAGCGCGGCAGTCCTGAGTTCCGGCGCAGCCTGGACATCGTCCTCACGCGCACGCTGCGGCCCGTCAGCACCCAGGCCTACTGGATCAAGAACGTGGCGCTGCGCACTTTTCTGGACGTGGGTTCGATCCCCCCCCCCTCCTCAAAAAAAAAGAGGGGAGGGGAAAAAGCACGCTTGAGAACCGTAGTACCCCGCAGGACCGCAGATTCCACCCTTCCCTTAATTTTGGTGGTTCACTTCCGCCCTCTAATCCATCAATCATGCGATGTTCACTTTTCTTTTCGGTAGGTTGAATAGATTTGTATAAATCGTCATTGTGTTGTTTTCATTTCCAGGTGCTGAACAGGAGCTACAGCGCGCTTCAAACTATTCGCGCGGCTCGCAAGAAGGGAATGGAACAGAACTACTGAAAAAAGAAAACGCAAGAGTCGTGGTTTTAGGATTTCTGTTTATATTTCTGACATAATACAATACAATATATCACTTTGCACTCGATAAGCACCCTCCCCCAGCAAAAGTGGCGCGAAGGAAGGCACAGTGCGGCAATACTGATGGCACACTAAAGCTAACGGGACGGATGCCACAAAAGGGGCCCCGATTTATCACATTCATAGTAAAATACACGCTAAAATAAATCCAACACCGAGAGCTCGTCGTTCTCCTCTTGCTAGAATACTTCAGGGCCGTGTGAGAGACGACGGAGATTTGTAATTGTGGTGGCATTGCAATGAATTGCTCTTCACAAGAGCAGTAACGGATTCACCACTGCTCTGACAATAAACGCGAACGACGCATCCCTCTGCAAGAGCACGATACAGTCAAAATGGTTGGCAAGTGGAAAGAACAAGTCTCGATCGATCTACAACGGCGTACCGAAAAAGATTCTCATTTAGGCAGTATGTTTTGAAAATTGACAGAGTTTTTGTTTACAAGATTACAGTGGAAGATGCTAGTGTTTGGTGGAGCAGGGAGAAACCACCACACTGCAATGTCAGACCCCGCCAGGCCCGCGAGGCCCGTCTCTATCAACGACCAGACTGACCAACATTCTCAGTTTTTGGTACCATTATGGAAATGGTACCACTGAGTCATGGTTTTGAACGGGATTATCGCAAGCAGGGTTCGAGTCCAGCATTGCAGACACCAGGGCATGGCATAGGCATAAAGCACCCTGCCGTGCGCGAATACTCCACTCTCCGGCGCCCAGCGGCCGGGGTATCGGCGCGGAGGCTCCGCCACCGCCTGGGGTATCTACGAGCGGCACTACGCCGAACCACGACCGCCACCCACCGGCTGAGTACTACAATAGGGTGACTTAGGGGCTACAAACACGAACATCGACGCAATAAATTGGAATCCTACTTGGCAGATTAAATGAATTCGCGCGACTTTTATGGTTCCTCGCGAAAAAAAAATCACAGCAAAGGAAAGCGAAACGCGAACCACAGGAAGAAGCGTCCACTCGAGTAAATGAAAGTTTACAGTTTTGAAAGCGTGTACACACACACAGCGCTCTAAAGGGAAAGGGGGCGCAGACGCAAAGGCAGCAAAAACGCAGAGCAAGTAGCATTAACAGCTACTTTTCATCTCACACCACTTAAGTAAGCCTAGCATTACATTCTTTTTCATACCCTGCGTTAAAACGTTCAGACACACTCCTTACGCACTACTACTTCGTGCAGGGACAGCTAACCTAGGTAGCTAGTATGCACCATCTTCAATCCAACGTAAAGGGATATGCAAAGGTCGAGGGTCGCTTCGAGAAAGGCGTCGGGCGCCCCGATGCAGCCAACCCAAGGAGAACAGGTAGTCAAAATCAAATCAAACTGACATCAAATGATGTCATTTGGACATCAGAATGGACCAAATTTTGACCAAAGATGGCTCATTTTGAGGTCATATTGACATAATTTGGACTTTTTTTTCTTCTCCCTGGGGGTGCTAGGCGGCGCTGATGTTGCCGATGTAGTAAAAGAACTGCATCTGATAGCCGTCGCTGCTCATGTAGTCCATCAGGCTCGAGACGTTGAGCAGGAAGTACGTCGGGAACGCTGTAAACAAGGACATAAAGGCGTGTGTTACTGTTCGCGCTCTCTCGGGCAAAGACGTCCGACTCCGTGTGGCTATTTCCTCTCCACGGCGCAGTGGGCCAGAAGACCGGCGCAGGCGGCCGAAATTCTATACGCGTTTTGAGCTCCAGCCAGAGTCGCTAATCGAGACTCGAACCAAACGTGTGACCCCACCAATGGAATGCTCTCCGAACGAGGAATCCATTGGTGGGGTCACACGTTCAGTTCGAGTCCTGTTTAGCGACTGTGGACCTGAAAACGCGTCTAGAATTTCCAGCCACCTCCACCGGTCTTCTGGCCCACTGTGCTCGGACTCGCCCTCACCGATGAGCAGCAGCAGCACGGCGACGACCAGGGCGACCACCTCCCCCGCGCTGAGGTAGCCGCGGACGTGCTCCTCGTCGGGCAGGGCCTGGATGACGGCCACGCCGTACACGATGGCGTACGCCGCCAGGCAGCCCACCAGGCACGTCGACACCACGAGGTAGGGCTGCATGAGGGACGGCCGCTTCTGCAAGACATCAGTCAGACAATGGGTCCTCAAAGAGGACGTCGATGACGTCACAGTCCATCACAGTGAAGGAGACTGTACCTCGCGGAGGCCGCGCAAGAGGAAGAGGCAGGCGATCGCCAGGAAAGTGCCGCCCAGGCCGTTGATGAGGAAGTCCAGGCCGTCCAGATCTGGGACAAAAAGGAAGGAGGAACTTTTGTTTCATGTCGTGCTCTCGTCAAGCAATTCTCTTTTTTTGCGGAAACTCACAGATGCCTGCGGCAGTGTGCTTGCATTCCGAGTCAAATTCCTCCGGGAAGGCCGTCTTGTACATGACTCGGCCGATATTTAAAACGGAGACCAGCTGCAACGGAAAGCAACGACGCGTTAAAACGGAAATAGATCCTTTTCGCGGAGAGGGTCGCTTTGCCCTCCCCGCTTGTCAATAATGGACAAAGGTCTCTGATGGACTCGGACGCATCGTGGACGCAACGTGGACGCACCCCGACGACGAAGCCTTGAACCTTGACGCACGTCTCGAGGGTCCAGCAACAACAGCAGCCACGCTCCATGGTGGCTCATTCTCTGGTGCCGCTAGTCTGCCAGTCTGAAAGGAAGGAGAGCGCACAGTGAGTGAGTGAGTGAGTGAGTGAGTGAGTGAGTGAGTGAGTGAGTGAGTGAGTGAGAGTGAGTGAGTGAGTGAGTGAGTGAGTGAGTGAGTGAGTGAGTGAGTGAGAGTGAGTGAGTGAGTGAGTGAGTGAGTGAGTGAGTGAGTGAGCGAGTGAGTGAGTGAGTGAGTGAGAGTGAGTGAGTGAGAGTGAGTGAGTGAGAGTGAGTGAGTGAGTGAGTGAGTGAGTGAGTGAGTGAGTGGCAGCGGCGCAGTACTGCAGTTCGGGGAGGGTGGCGTGGGCGCAGCACAGCGCCCCTCCGCCGGGGGGCCCTCCAGGGGGCCTCCCGGGGGGCCTTCCAGGAAGGCCTGTCGCGGGTACTTCCCCCCTCCCTCGATGGGAGCTTCCTGCCGCCCGCCCCGGCCGCGCCACCCCCAGGTGTCCCGGGGGACCGGACACGTGGCAAACGCCGCCGCGCCCCGCCGCCCCTCGCCCTCTAACCTTTGACCTTCAGCAGCGCGACGCGGTTCGGCCGCCGCGCCGTCTGCGTTCGGCCCGTGCATACCTCCAAGATGCACGGCGCGTCCCTCCGCGAGGCAGCCTGCGAGCGGCGTGCCTCCCGGGGCCTCCCCTACCCCCAGGACCCCGTCACTCCAGCCCCAGGCCAGCCCCAGGCCAGCCCCAGGCCAGCCCCAGGCCAGCCCCAGGCCAGCCCCAGGCCAGCCCCAGGCCAGCCCCAGGCCAGCCCCAGGCCAGCCCCAGGCCAGCCCCAGGCCAGCCCCAGGCCAGCCCCAGGCCAGCCCCAGGCCAGCCCCAGGCCAGCCCAGGCCAGCCCCAGCCAGCCCAGGCCAGCCGGCCACCCCGCCAGCCCCAGCCAGCCAGCCAGCCCCAGGCCAGCCCCAGGCCAGCCCCAGGCCAGCCCCAGGCCAGCCCCAGGCCAGCCCCCGGCCAGAGGACTGATTCCGCACAGTGCGGCCGGTCTGTCTCTCTCGCACCTGTACGGATCGCCCCATCAGAGGGAGAGAGAGAGAGAGAGAGAGAGAGAGAGAGAGAGAGAGAGAGAGAGACCTCCCAGGCCAGGCCTCCGTCAGGATGGGCGGGCAAACACAGGAAAGTGCTGCACCTCGCGACGAAACGGGGGCACCTAAAAATCGTCTCTCCCTTTCTGCTTAATTTTTTCCTCTTTCTGTTTTTATTTTTGAAGTTTCACACAGGATTTGGTAACGTTGTACTCGTGAACCAAGCGTATGATTAAATTCGAGCGTGGCTTGCACTTTGAAAAGGCGGGTAACTCGCGGTGTATTATCAGTTCGCTCCGCGATGAAAGTTTGATTAGCTGAGCCGGAGTGGCGGCCAAGGTGGCAGTCAAGGCCGAGGCGGGCAAGCCCCGGGGCTCCCGGGCCGTCCGGACAGCGCAAGTTAAACGCTACCCTTCCTCGGTCCGGGGCAATCAATGTAGAGAGCTTTGGGGAAGCTCGCGCCAGCGCCGCAACATTGATTCGCCGAGTACTGCGCAACCACACTGTACGACACGACACACGGTGCCGCAGAGCGTGACGCGCGAAGCGAGCGAAGCGCAACAGCGGGACGCACACGAGCAAACCGAGGCCTGGATAGCGATCGTCGATACCACGGCGAACATCGCGGCATGTCATCCTACACCTCCCCCTTTTTTTGCCCTTCATAAAACGCGTAAAGGCAGGCAATCCGACGTACAATCCAGCCGGAAGTAGGCAAAAAGTGTGACCTGACCCCTTCTTTCTTTTCGAGGCTAGACACGAGCCTGGTCATGCACGTCACGGAACGTCACGGTACGCGTGTGACACCGTATTGAACCTACCTCATAACACGGCCTGGCCTCGTCACGGCCTCGACACGGCCTCGTCACGGCCTCGTCACGGCCTCGTCACGGCCTCGTCACGACCTCGTCACGACCTCGTCACGGCCTCGACACGGCCTCGTCACGGCCTCGTCACGGCCTCGTCACGACCTCGTCACGGCCTTGTCACGGCCTCGACACAGGCCGTCGCCGTCAGCTGACTGGCCGGCGCGCCGCCGGTACCCCGCGTCGCCACAGCTGGGTCGGGCCGAACGGCGAAGCGGCCGAAGTCGCGGCAACCCCACCAGCCACCAGCAGAGCGCGCCCCTCACTGGCAGCGCCGCGGCCGGGCCGCCCACCTCGCCCACCCCACCCCACCGCCACCGCCACCCACGGCTCGAGGGGCTGGGGAGGGGGGGGGGGACACATGCCGATCAAAGTCGTCGAGGCCGAGTAGGAAGTGGCTAATGAGGGTGGGCACAGAAGCAGAGCCAGCAACTCGCTACACCGTCGGCAGGGCACGTCCCCGGGTTGCAGCCGCAGGGGGCTGGCCGGCTGGGCGCGCGGGACGAGCAGAACGGGAGCCTGGGATGACGTCATGCGGACCGCGGTGACGTCAGTCGAACTGCGTTGGCGCGTTGGCGTTGGCGCGCTGCGAGAGTGCTGCTTTGTGTATAGGGGCGCTTTTTACCTCCGGTGGAGTGCGCTCTTGTGTCGTGCGCTGCTGGTGAGGCAGGATATTTTTTGTCAAAAGAAGGAACAAACCAGCCAATTCCTTTGTACTGCAACAGTTTTTATTTTCATCTCTGAAACATGATTAAAGTATATACAGGAAAGAATCTATGAATACTTAGTCCATCAAAAACCCTTTCGATTGAATCACGATATTTTATTGACTTTTTATGGGGCCTTTAGGATACCAAGTGTCCACTTCACGACACTTTTTGCCCTCTCCTTTACGCATGGTCACAACCAACACACCATAAGGTACGAAAAAATCAATGGCACGACTTATTTCTGGGTGAGAATTCGTGCGATAGAGTAAGTTTGCATTGTGGGAAGGGTAACTTTCTTTCATCGAGCCCGTTTAGTAAAGGTTAATTTGGAATCTGCATCTTGACACAGTTCTCATTCCGTTACATGGTTTACGGACAACCCTGTATTCACTTCGCGCGACGCACGCGACTCCATCAAGAACGCCATTCTCCAGTCCGACAGGGAGAGGGGGGACAACACAAAAACAGACAAATAGCTGCAAAGTCACAATCAGGAGGACTGTCCCTTTCTTGGCACACTGAGGGGGTAACTACTTCCATTACAACAACAATCATGTGTACCAAACACGCTAAGGGGATCACTACGTGTACTGGTTTCGCAACATACGTCTCAATAAAGGTTTCAAGAATTGACTGACGGCGCGGGCGCTCGCTCCCCTGGGGACTTGGACTGGTTTCCTTCCCCCTCGGCGGGCACAAGCCATTCAACGAGACGGCGAGCGCTGCTGCTCTCGAGTGTGAGGAGTGAAAGACTTGGCTGGACTTGGCTTTGCGCGCACGGGAAAAGGACGCGGCTCGTGCGAGGCCCGGCCCGGCCCGCGAGTCGCGCCTGCCTCGCCTCGCCTCGCCTCGTCGCTGCGGCGCGCTGCCGCGCGCTGCCGGGGACGAGGCGGTCTGCTTCTTGTGCGTCGAGGAACAGCGGTCGGCCTTGGACGGCCTTGGACGGCCTTGGGCGGCCAGCGCGGCGGGGTGGGCACGGCAGGGGCGGCTCGTCCTACCTCTCTCGCACTCGCCAGGCGCGCGTAACAACTGCAATGTCAACCCGGTGTCGGTCTCAGCCCGCGTCAGCTAGCCTGCCCGCCCGTCAGTCAGTGAATCGGCTGACCGGAGACAAGCACAAAAAAACAAAAATAAAAATAAAAACTTACCCCGCCATCTTTACTGCGACTGTTGTTCAGTCGGCCAGACAGACGCTCACACGGCGGACGGCATGTTCGGGTCTAGCGGCTTCGCAGGGCCAGCGTGGGCCACCGGCCCCGCCCCCTCAACCCCTGCAGCCGAGCCCGGTCCCATACCCGGCCCCATGGCCGGCGCCACTGCTGGCCCCATGCTCGGTCCGTTGACCGGCCCCGGCGGCCCCATGGCTGGAGGTGGCCCCATGGGCGGTGGTGGCCCCATGGGTGGTGGTGGCCCCATGGGTGGTGGTGGCCCCATGGGCGGTGGTGGCCCCATGGGCGGTGGTGGCCCCATGGGCGGTGGTGGCCCCATGGGTGGTGGTGGGCCCATGGGCGGTGGTGGCCCCATGGGTGGTGGTGGGCCCATGGGCGGTGGCGGCCCCATGCCCGGGACGATACCCACTCCCACACCCGGCCCCATGCCCGCGCCGACGCCCGGCCACGGGCCAGCCCCCATCCGCGGCGAGCCGGTGACCGCCCCGGAGGCGGCCCCAGCGGCCGCCTCGTCGGCCGCCACCACCAGGTGGTAGGGCGGCGGCAGGTCGTCGGGCTTGATGGTGGCGTTGGGGGCGGTGGGCGGTGCGTAGCCGTAGCCCGGCGGCAGGGGCGGCAGCACGGTGGTGTCCTGCATGAACTGCGGCGGCAGGTGCGCCACGATGTGCGGCTGCATCGGGAACTCGGCGTTCAGCTTCATCTTGCGATACAGGCTGTACGCGCAGATCCACATGTAGTAGGGGATACCTGTGGACAGAACGCCGGCATGTAGTGGAGTCCAACAGCCGCCCCACAGTGGGACAGGAACCTCGTTCGGAGAGAAACCCATTTGGTAGGGTCACACGCTCGGTTCGAGTCCCATTGAGCGACTCGGGAGCTCAAAACGCATCTCGAATTTTTGCCGCCCCCACCGGTCTTCTGGCCCACTGTGCCTCCGGTCCTCGGGCACAGCACGACGGCGACCTACCGATGCCCAGGGGCAGGATGATGAGCACCGCCTCGGCCCACAGGTTGTAGACGCACGCCCGCACCAGCAGGTCCACCGCGTTGAACAGCATCTGCACGCCCAGCACGCGCACGTACGGCAGCAGCAGTTTGTGGCGCCGCTGCAAGAGCAAGACCGCCGTCAAGTTAGACACCCGAGAGCGCCTGGGGGGTAGGCTCGTCGAGCAGGGCACCACCGTCGGGCGGGTGGCCTACCCCGAGTTCCGCAGGCGCCTGCCGGGTAGGCTGTCCAGCCCGAAGCAGCGCACTGCCGTCGGGCGGGTGGCCTACCCCGAGTTCCGCAGGCGCCTGCCGGGTAGGCTGTCCAGCCCGAAGCAGCGCACTGCCGTCGGGCGGGTGGCCTACCCGAGTCCCGCAGGGGCGCTGTGCCGGGCAGTCAGCAGCTTCTTACCCTGGCAGTCCCGCAGGACGTAGCAGGGCGCTGCTGAAGGCGATGGCCTGGAGCAGCATCTTGACCACCATCTCCGCCATCTTAGCGCTGCCCGCATGCCCCCGCCTCTCCCACTCACACGCCAGCGTGGGCTCGCCAACTTGGAACAGACGGTGGACGCCTTTAAAAATTTAAACGAAAACGAAAAAACAAAAACAATTAAAAACCTACAAGGAGGAATCCATGATTGATCTACAAGTTAGCATGATACCGTTGACCTGAAATGATTTCGAATAGACTTATGGTGTGGGTGTGGTAGAACAGGGTCACTGCCAAGGTCACTTCTCTGATAATAGTTCGAAGGGGAAGGGGGGGGGGGGCAGGCAGTATACAAGTGCCGTGGGACCCAGGAAATGACGTGTCCGTTTTCATCACCATTATCGTATGGACGTCGACTTCATCATCGTCTTCATCAGCATCGTCAACATCATCATCTTCATCAACATCATCATCGTCGGCACGCCGGCGTAAACCTTCCCACTACTGTACCTTTCTCGCGGTCGAAGCTCTGGCACCGGATGGAGGCGGACTGCGGCTGCAGGTACTCGATGAGCAGCGTGGGCGCGTACAGTAGGGACAGGGCCTGGAAGCAAGCGTCGCCATCAGTGGCGTCCTCGAGCGGCAGCCGCGAGGGTCAGAAGATCGATTTACGTCGCTCTGTCTCTCTCGCACCCTTATGGAGAGCCCCAGGAGTGTGACAGAGACAGAGCGACGAAACGACTCTTTCCGAATCGCTCGCTCGGCAAGGCCGTCAAACTCAGCCCTCGAACTCACCACCACGAGGCTGGCCTGCACCTTGCAGCAGCCCTCCAGCGAGCAGCAGCAGCCCCGCTCCACGACGGGGATCCAGGAGCGGTCCTCCCGTATGGTCGGCGCGCTCGGCATGGCGACCTGCGGACAGGGAAGGCAGACTCTGAGAGTGTGTCACCGCCAGCCCCAGGCAGACGGGCTGGGCTACCCCGACCCGCTCAACTTGTGAAACTCGTGGGCCGCGCGATAACCGTCCCTTTGATAACCGACTCGTGTGCGAGGAGCAGACCCGTGCCGTGCAACTGGCGGTCTCTTCGCCTATTTGATGGCGATTCGGTGCTGCCAACCTGACTACTCTCTGCAGCCGGAACATTTCTATTTAGGGGGGGACTTCGCGGGAATAAGAAAGCGCTAAGAGACCTCTTCAGGTTGTTCCGGGTGTGCCGGCAAGTACCATAGGCTGCGCGACGGCTAGGTAGTCACGGCTACGAGGCACGTGACGCAGAGCCTCCTGCAGGAAAAATAGTTTCCCATTTGTATTGATCTGCAGTTTGCAACCCTGGAGTACGTGGTCGCTGGCCGCGAGTCTGCGCACTTGCGCAGACAGTGCACCGAGCTGTCGGTCATCCCATCCCCCCCCCCCCCCCGGTCCCGATCTCAGCAGGGGGCTGCCCGTGCGACCCGTGCGGGCCGTGGCAGATTGAGCAGGAGGGGAGGGGGGGGGGGTTGCAGTCTCGATCGGCCTACCCCCAGCCAGAGCACATCTCCAAAAGGCCTGGCATAGGCAACCCGCAACACGTGCCACTGCAAGCGGCAGGCAAACCCTCGCCATGCCTCCTCCGGCCGAGCCTCCAGCCTCAGCCTGCAGAGCCTAGCAGAGCCCGCAGAGCCGCCCGCCGCGCGCGGAGCCACCCCTCCGCGCCCAGAAAACGCGCGGGAAGAGGAGACGGATGCTGCCATGCTGCCCCACCGCGCGGCCCCGCGGCCCGGGCTGGGTTGCTCCTGGGGCGGCGGGGAGTATCGCCACGCTGGCCTGCTGGCCCCGTCCCCCCGTCCCGCCGTCCCGGCCCCAGAGCGCGGCTGCGCGGGGTAGCGCCGCTGCCATTGTGCACACGCGCGCGCGCTCGCACGCACACACACACACACACACACACACTCTCTCTGCACTGGCTGGCCGATAAGCGCGGTGCGCGGTATCGAGCAGCGAGTCACCCGTTTGTTGAACGGCACGGACCACGGCAGGCGGATTCCGAGCTGCGCCTCGTCGCTCCGTCCCCCTCGCACCCCCTGCGAGACGCCCCTGTGGGAGCGAGAGAGGCAGAGCGGCCAAACGCATTTCGGGGTCGGCCTGCAAGCCTGCAGCGCCACCGCGAGTGCAGACGGAGTGCAGCGGCACGGCGTAGAGCCCGGCGCGTGCGCTCTTGCGTCATTCCATGTCATCGGTCCGCGCTCACATTCGACGCGTCGAGGAACTCCCCGCTGCTCGCCTCGCTGGACCGTCCGACCGTCCCGCAGAGGCCGAGCTTTTTGAAATCCCCGCCGAAATCGGAGCCAAATCTCTCGGCGGGGCTCTTCGGGGGGCTCAACGGCAAAGCCAGCCAGCTTATCACTAGTTCCATTTCCCTGCCCAGCCATTTTCACCGTGACGCGACGAGTATGGGAAATTCGGGCAGCCGCCGCGGCCGAGGCACTGTAAGGCACTGCCGAGCTGGGTTCCGCGGCACTGAGTCACTCAACAAGGATGTCACTGTCACGCGGTCAGGAGGGCCTGCCCTGCCGCCTCACTGCGACGCGCCTGCCCGCGCGCCTATCTGGTTGGCATGGGTTGTTATGGCACCTCGGCCACAACACTCCTCCCCCCGCCTCGCATGGCAGTGCAGGAGCCTTGGCAGGAACAGAGGCATTTGTTTTTGTTTTGCTGGGATCACAGTTCAGCGCAGAGGCAGTAAACGCGACAGGGAGGTGGCAGGATGCGACGGCCGTGCCCTCTAACCTCATCGGAGCCTGGCCTAGGCTGCCCACAGACACACAGTTCACCCACCTGTTCGCGACCCTCCGTGCAAGAACTAGGCGCGCTCGACCTTGACGGCGGTGCGTTTCTTGGCCAGCAGTGTGGCGCGTCCGGAGCTCCGCTGGCGCACTAGTGGGACTTGTGGCCCCAACGCCCTGAGGGCCTCGAGGCCTCGCGGTGCTGCGCCGTGTTCCGAGACCCACGACGCGAAGGTGCTCTGCGGTGGGGCTCTGCGCTCTGCCCGCGAGGGGACCTCGTCGACGGGCAGGCCGCGGGGGGTCGCGTGGTCGCGGCGCCCTGCTGCCCTGGACTGGCCTCGCAGAGTCCTCGGCGGGCTCGGCAGGCGTAGCCAGGCGCCGGGAGAACTGGGCAGGGCGACGTCCGAAACACCCCGCCGCGGTCGCGCCGCCCCTGGAGCCGAGGCGCCGAGGCCGAGAGAGGAGAGCGGGCGGCAGTGGCGGTGCGCGCGAGGGGGAAGTTCCGGACGCAGTCCGACGGTCGATACCGCGACCACGGTGGCGCCCGCTTCGCCTGGCCTGGCGGGGGCTGCGGCGCCTCTACCCCTCGCGGCAGCGAAACCCCTGTGGGCAGCGATACCCCGCGCCCAAGGCCGCAAGGTGGATTTGCCCTGGCCGTGTCGTTAATGCGATTTCACCGTTACTGTGCCAGGGTCAGGGGTGAAGTTTTGGGGAACCCATTGCTCACATACTGCATTTCATATCTACTTGGCCTGTTTATCATGCCTCCTCTCCGCCAATTTCCAACTCCACTATTAAGGTGATAATGAACTCACAGAACAGACAGAACTCAAAAAAATAATACTTTTCAAAGAAATTTATTACCATTGCTTTGTAGCCTAGGCATACCAACAGATATGTTTAAGGTAAATTTGCGAGCACCACATTATCTCACAAGGACCAAATTGAAATGATCATTGTACAAGCAATATCAGAGGGTAAACAAAAGATTTTTTTTAAAATGCCAGGAAATTGTCATTGTTTAGCTTTCTGGAAACTAAAATTAATACTCATTAAAATACAACATTTTAAATAAAATATTTCCAGAAGGCTTAAAATGGAAGCAAATCCATCTGCCTAGACCTACTATATAGAATTAATAGAATACAATTTACAAACAAATACAAACATACATATGAAATATTATTTACACGAAAAATAACCATGACATGAATGAAGGTGACAGGTAACTTTACAGACCAATGCCACATCCAACTTGTGCTGATATATGCTACCTGAAGCTTTTCAAAACTGAGAAAGACGGGAAAGCATAAATTCTTAATTTTCAATACACATTCATACTTTAAGTACCGGTGACATTTGTGTCCCACTGGGGATCTATGATGGAATGTGATAACAATTTAATCTTCAACAGAATTTGACATAAGAAACCTAAAATAATTGAAAACTTAGAAGGCTTTTAGTTGGGAATTTTGCCACCCTGAAACAAACATAAGAAGCAAATGTATCAGTTAAAGCAAAATGTCATCACAAACGCACTGCGTATAAAAGAAGTAGCATAACTTACCCAGTTCTTGGCCATGAGCATAAGAGTCCTGTTTGATAGTTTTGGTCCAATGAGGGGGTTCATTTGTGCCATGTAGCAACAAAGCCAGCTGAAATTAGAGACAAATTCAACTACATTAGTCACAATTGTATTATTGAAGGGCGTTATCAGAAAACAATCAATAGAAAATATCTTACAATATCCAGCATGTTGCTGCTGTTAACATAAGAACCAGCTGGAAGATCCTAAAAACAGAGAAATAAATCTGATAGTACACATTGTCCAAAACAAGAACTCAACACGGCTCACACTACAGATACAATATCTATCAACAAGGGTATACAAAAGTTAGGTTATGTTGAGCATCATATGACCTAACTTCTAATTCCTATCCTAGAAAGAGCAAACCAACTGAAATCTGACGTGAGTAATGCGTTAACAATTCAATGAGGCTTTGACGCGGGCAGAAACAAAGCGGGGCGAATAGAAATGTGGTACTGCAGCAGATAGCAGAAAGGTACCGACCCTCGGTTTGGCCCTTTTGGGACGACAAAGGGCAGAACAATGCCCACGACCGCCCACAGCGCCGTGAAGAAGATGAAGGGGATGAACGAGAAACCCATTTTGAGTCCAATTCAATGGCACAGAGTGCAATAATCCGAAAATCCAATCCGCTCGACAGAGCCACACAAGAAGACAGCTGACTAAAGTCACATGAGATTTCTGCTGGGTATGTTCGAGACGAGCTCGGGTTGTGGTCACGAGTGTTTATGGCTTTCACGGGGAAAAAATGTACCAGGGTCTGAATTTATCAAGATTTTCGTAATTCAATGTAAATTGATTGTTCTCGTCTGCCTGGTTGACTTTATTCTGTCCAATCCGAGTGAAAGGAAGAAGGGTCACTTGTGGTCTTTAAAAAGTCAGCGAGTGGTGTGACGTCACTGAAAGATCTTAAGATTGTTTTGTTTTTCATTGATCTCTCACAACATAACGTGAGATTGTCAGGGCTTGGTCAAGAATGGATTCGTTTAATTTGAAAAAATTTGCTCGCGATGCGGGGTCAGCTCTGAGTCGAGTTGTTCAGGTAACAATAGTTGTTTAGACAGGGAATGCCAAGTTAGATGTCACTTTAAGCTAACCTTGAAATTTTGAGCTATGAATCAATATAATTATTTTGAGCGTTCGTAAATTTGCTTTTAAAAGTCTCCTACTCCTAGAAAGATTCCTGGTTCTTCCTTTAACTTTGACTGTCCATAAGCTTTATCATTACTTTTTCTCTCCGAAGGACTTCTTTGTCACTCGCCTTCTACTGCAGAATCCGGAGGGGTTTTGAACTAATTTTTTTGTTCCTGTGTGATATTTTAGCTGACTGAAGAGAAGCTTGGAACCTCAGAGAGAACAGAGCTTGATGCACACTTTGAAAATTTGGCAGAGCGCTCAGATACCACAAAGTTATGGTCGGAAAAACTTCTAGCTGACACGGAGGCTGTGCTCACCCCAAATCCTGGTAAGTAATTTGTAGTAATTTCCAGCAGCCCTATCTTCTATTTTTATCATCTGTTTGGGAAATTATGATGAAGTTTCTTTCCTTTTGCAGGTAATCGGGTCGAAGACTATCTCTTTGACAAAATTGACAAAAAACGTCCCAATCGTTTGAGCAATTTGGAATATCTAGGTTTAGATATGATAGATGCTGGTAATGAATTCGGACCTGGCACTGCTTATGGTAAGTAGCTAGTATAGATAGGTTTATCACTCATGTGCTTCTGTAAGTATTGTGCAACTCCTCTACACATGATTGAACCAAATTTACAGGAAGTGCTCTGATCAAAGTTGGACAATGTGAGCAAAAGCTTGGCACTATTGAAAGGGACTTCACTGCATCTGCCAACCATGCGCTGGTAGCACCATTGCGAAAGTTTTTGGAAGGTGAAATGAAAACTATCATGCGAGAAAGAGGCCTTCTTGAAACAAAGCGGTGAGACTGATGGTGTTAGTAAACGGCACAATTACTATATATTCCAAAGCACAGGTTTGTTTACTATAATGTATATCTATTTCTCACTCCATACAGTCTGGATCTCGATGCTTGCAAGAACCGTGTTCGAAAGGCTAGGAGTATGCTGGGAACTACAAACGTGAGTACAGTCTTTCATAACTTGCTGATTAGTCTATCTTTCAAAACTAACTTTCAATAAAATTCCGATTCATCAAAGCAAAGAACTTTGGTGCCAGGATGTAGGTTTCTTTCAGAAGGCTCCTCAAATTACCGAATAATTATCTGTGGTTAATCTTAACTTATATTGTCAGCAAATTTAATTTATTGTCTTAATCTCTCCTGTGCATACTCAGAAGGAAGGTCCTAGCCCTGAAATAGTCCTTAGACAGGTAAAATTCTGCATTACTGTATTTTAGCCAACATGACTGTAGGATAGAGTAGTAAGCTATAATTTATTCAAAACAAACAATTCTTCTTCCTAAAGTGTTTCCTTTTGTGCTATATCATTTTGTGTTATCCTGTTCCTGCTATTGTTTTGTTGCTTTCATTTATCCATCAGTAGTGCGAACTTCATTAATGCTTCTTGTTCTGATTTTCTTATCACAGAAATTGGTTTTTATTTTTATTTGAGCTGATTTGACAGTTTAGTATTCACATCTTAGCCCATTTCACCATTTCTTTCTCTAATAAGCTCGAGAATACAAGTTTTGTTCTAGAAAATACATTTATTATTTGAATACTTGCATCCTTCATTGACAGTGTTTAAAAATACAGGACGTTTGACCGGAGTGTAATGTTCATTCTATTGATCTGCAGGCAGAGCAAGACTTGCGAGTGGCACAAGCAGAGTTTGACCGGCAGGCAGAAATCACTAAACTGCTTCTCGAAGGCATTGGCAGTTCCCATGCATCCCATCTCAGATGTCTGCATGAATTTGTTGAGTCCCAAGTGCGGTATTATGCCCAGTGCCATCAGTTCATGCAAGAGCTTCAACGTGATATGGCGAGGTGAGTACACTGAAGAGTAGGAATTTCTCGTCTATGAAAATAGTATAGATCCCACACAATTTTCATAGTTAATTTCCCCCAAGTTGTAATGCATTCTTTGTGAAGTATTTTATTTTCAAAGTATATGGTGATCAAAGCTGTGCTGTACATGCTACCATTGTTTGTAGCTGGATATATTTTTATTTCATTTTGTAAATTTGCAGTAGATTACAACAGAACCTAGTGTGCAATTCACACCTAGACTTTTAGTCCTGCTTTGAACTTAGTGGAAATCACTTTGACAGGTTAGCTTGCTACTAGTCAGTGTTGCATACTGCCCTTTGGAAAGAAGAACAGAGTAGATAATATCTGCTATTTTAATTTCAACCAGGACTATACTTTTCTGGTTATTACCTTTTCTCAGATGATGGAAAGTAGGCTTGCTTTTCTGACAACACACTATTTGATTGAGTGGTGTTTGTTTTGTCAATTTAGTACAGTTTTATTTTGTTTAGTTCTCCTCCCCATATATAGTTATCAATTCAAGAGTAGAAGCTTATTTATATTATACAAGATCATCTGTTGTAAAATATTTTGTAAGGATGCAGGATTGTAAGCCTTCTTTGACTCTGTATGGGTTTTCTCTTTCTTTTTCTTTTCCTTTTTAATCCTCCCCTAACACTACCTCAACATACAAATTGAAATGCTCACACCCTTAAAGGAACTAATATTTTGGTTTTCTCTGGAGGAGGATATTTAAGTAATATCTAACAGCACGTGTAAAATGTTTTACAGATGGTGTTACATACTTGTACTCAAAAGTTGTTTTGCAATTTCCTCTGGTAGCCACCAAATGTGGAAACGCACCTTACGCTAATATTTCTTGGAAGGGATATGGGAGTAGGTTTGCACAACTCGTATAGTTCTTTGTTGTTGCGATATTTCTGCTTTCCCTCAGTTCTGTGGCATGACTATTTCCTTGGAACATTTTGGGAAGAATTATGTTTTTATCGCACTGGTGATGGTGTATTGTTGCAGTGATAGAAAACCAAGTCCCATGTTGCGTATCAACAGCGAAGAAGTGGAACTTGTACCTCCGGAGAGCAATAGCACTAACTCATCTCCAAACTGATGCCTGTTACCAAGTCAACTACCACTATGAGATGTGCAAGAGTACTCAAAATATTGGCCGGCTCTTTAATCTGCTTTCTCTCTACTCCATGTTTTGAAAGTTTCTCAGCATTATATTGCAATATTCTTAGATATACATAGCTTCTTTGCAATTCTTTCTGTTTTTGTCTTGTTTCGTTCATCAGCCTTGTGCTCATGTTTCAAAATTTTGTATTTGTCTGTTCTTACAATGAATTTTTCATCTATGTTTGGACAGAAATTTCAGTGTAATGTCTATTCATAGTATACCATAATGGATAGTACATCACAACCACATTTCTTCTCCTATGCATTACCTGTTTAACCTCTCACTTCGTACTTTCTATTTGTTAGAAGCAGTTAGTGCTTTTCTTAATTCTCTTTTCCTGAATCTAAGTAATAAGTAATAAGAAACACAATGGTCCAAGATCTGCAAACTGGTTTTTGTGTTGCATCTCCAGTGCAATTAGTATTCTTAAGTCAATACCACCGTTTGTCAAAATCTGAAAGAGTAGTAATATTGAGAAGAGCCCAGTGAATGAGATCTAGTGGAAACACCTTCACTTCTCCACTTGTTTTATTCCACTGTTTACTGATGAGATGAGCTTTATACACTTACATATTGTGGCTGTAGCTGTTGTGTTATGATTCTCTCTATAATTTTTATACCAATTTTTTATTGTTAAGTTTGATTTTTGGTAATGGAATTGAATTTTTTAATGAATTTATGTATGTGTGCAAAAGTATTTAAATTGAAGTGTTATTTGAGTTGATAATAGAATATTATTATTTCTATCCTAGTGGCCAAAGTGCTGATCACTCCCTAGATATTACATGTCAGTTGGCCTGAAGTATAGAAATTATGTGATTTTTGCATTATGTAAGGTGAATGCACCCAAAATGCTACATTCCATTTTGGTTGTTATATTTTTGTGGTAAATATGGTCTTA